CGTTGCTTCGTGTACACGTCCGTCCGTTCGTCTGTCTGTATGCCTGTCTGTCCGTCTGGCCCTTGTCTGTCGCCGAGGAAGGACACGTTTCCTCGGAGATTGTGGGCGTGACTCAGCCTGAACCTTTGCCGGAGGTCGAATGGGCAGTGTAGCGACAGTCATGGCATAGACACTGTAGTCATTCAGAGATCGTTCCAAACGAACACACACGCACACACACGTACACACAGAGTGACGTGTCAGTAACATGTCCCTGTCGTCAGCAGCGCCTTGGCGAGTGGTGGGGATGGAAGGCGTGGGCTTCGCCTTGCTTCGCCTTGGTTCGCCTCGAACGAGATTCTTTTCCAGAGCAATAAACTGGAATAACACTGACTGAGAAGGAAGGGGGTGGGGGAGTCTGTGCAGTATGGGAAGGCGGAGGGAAAGGGGGGGGGGGAGGCAGCGAGGCGTATCAGCACCAACGCACTCGGAAAGGCTGCCTGCAGGGACCAAACCCTGAAACTGCAGCCACACCTTAGAGCCGCGGCATTCTCTGTGTGCGTGTGTGTGTGTGAAAGAGAGAGAGAGACAGAGGGTGTGCAGGCGGAAACACATGTGCCGAACACGCCGGCTGGAAGTGCCGCGGCGCGCCAAAAGGTGTGCAGTGAGCACTTGTTTTTAAAAGTTGTTTCTTTTTCTCCTTTACGATTGGCTCGGTAAAAGTGTTACGACTCTCGCCCCGTCTCGATGTAGTATTACGCACGGCGGCCGATGCGTGTACGCCTTGTCCGTAGGCACGCCGAACTTTTATGCGAGGGAAACCCTCAGCTGAGATTCGTCTGGCCGTGTTTTGGCACTCTCAAAAACTTCAGTCAGCAAATTGGCCCAACTTCAGTTGATTTTTAAAGTGAGAATCAGGTGTCAATTAACGAATGAACTATCTTTAGAACCACTGTAGTTCGTCACAGTAGTTCTGAACTTTATAGTTCTTCACAGTAGTTCTGAATTGTATAGTTCTTCACAGAAGTTCTGAACTATAAAGTTCTTCCAAAGTTGTTTGATTATGGAAAGAGTTCAATTCAGAGTCGACTCTCCGTGGTCTTTTCGGCGGTGTGCATGCTCGGCGATGCGTCTGGAGGGCACCCACCCTTCCGTCGCCCCGACTTTGATTCTCGGCCGTTCCAGCCTGCGACGAGCACCGCCACGAGCACCGCGCCCACACGCAACGCAGCCCAGCCCCAAGTCCCAAGCTCTAAGCAGATGCAGCAACTTGTTTCAGATTCCATTTTCCGATAATTCGCCTTCATTCCTGCTCCAACACGGATCACTCTTGCACGTGGCTGCCACCCCCTAAACCGTGGCGGTCTGTCTCTCTCGCAAACCTTGACGCACAGTGAGCCAGAAGACAGGCACAGGCGCCCAAAACTCTAGACGCGTTCTGAGCTCCAGAGCCACCAAACAGGCATCGACTCGAAAGTGTGACTTTGCCAATAGATTCCTCGTTCGGAGAGCATGGTGGGTCACAGGTACGGTTCGAGTCCCATTTAGCGACCCTGGAGCTTAAAACGCGTCCGGGGTTTTGACCGCCTCCACCGGTCTCTGGCCCATTGAGGGACGCCCCATGAGTACGAGGTAGACACAGCATGCGCCTGGCGTCTGGTTCATGGCCGGTGACGGCATCACCTCCAAGTTTGGGGCTGCATCCAACGAGGAGGGCGAATGAATGGACCACGGCGGCCTTGCCTGATTGCCGGCAGCTTGTGCAACGCCCTCGGTCCCTCCCCCCGGCACGCGTTGTCTCCACGCTCCGCTGCATCAACCACTGTGCATTTCTACCGACTAGCTGGCCGCGCTGGCCGTGCCGGCCGGCCGTTGGGGGGGCGCGCATCCCTGCCGTTCATCCTTGGCTGGGCAGCAACCGGTCTCGCACGCGTCCACCTGCGTCTGCTCTATCTCTCTCTGTCTCGCTGTGTGCGTCTCTCTCTCTCTCTTGTCGGCAAAATGGCGAATAATTAACAAATGGGCTGCAGACGGCGAGGTGTCTTCATTTTCTGGTGTCGTACTTCTGTTTCTGGGTGTCGTTTGGCCATACGCAATAATACTTATAGCATCTGCTGCGCACTGACAAGTCTTAAGGATTGAGGTTGATACGAAGTGGATGCTTATTTTAATCTTGAATCCTCAGAGAGTCTCTCGGAAGGTAACAGTGTAGGCCTGCTCTACGTTCGGTCTGATGAAAACCCGAAACCTGTGTAGGGTTTTCAGGGAGCCAGTTTGAGGGGATTAAAAAGTTATTAAGGGCAATGCACGATTGACACGTAGCAGGGACGAAGGCGGGCTTGTTTGAGGAGATGCCACGCGGTGCATGCGTTTTATTTGTGTGCGTGCGTGTGTGGTATTCGTGTGCGTGCGTGTGTTTGTGGTGTGTATCTCCCCAGTGCTATTTCCGAATCGTCCCATCCTAGCTCTCCTTCGCGGCTCGCCCGCTGCGTTCGGGTTCAACAACTCCGTCGACCCAGGAAAAAGGAAGACGAGCAATAGATCGGATTCATTCACGCCGGCCAGCAGGAAGTTTGGCGGTCCCCTCCACCTGTTCTGGGACGTCTTGGAAAGAAATCGAGTTTTGCATCCGAATGACAGAGAGTTTACCAGCATCGCTCGATCACTTCCCACGAGGCGGACGAGAGCGCAGCAGAAGGACGCTATTGTGTGGTTATTGGGTCGGTAATGAAGATCTCCGGCTTATCTTCTCAGATGACACGGTAATTGCAGCCTTTGCTCCGATTTAGTTCAACAGCAGCGCCATTCACGAGTCCCAACCGGTCCCAACTTCCTGGCCTGGCTATTCCTTGCCGTCAAGCACCTGCTTGTCAACCCACCTGATTCCACGCGCTGGAGGATTCCTGGTCGATCCGCGGAAAGCACAGTATCCTTCGTCTTAATCCTGTGGACGATGGTGAATCATGGGGGCGTATCCTTAGCAGTGTACCAGGTGCAGTGGCCGCGGCGGCGCACAGGCACACAGAGACACAAACACAGGGGCACACAGACACACTATCGCGCGGACATGTCCTCGGGGTGCTTGACGACGCGGTCCTGGCGGTGGCGTAGGCAGCCGGCGTGCTGCACGCCGTGTAGGTGTAGCCGGTGCCGCCGAGACGCGTTGGGCCGGCGCACACCACACACTGGCGTAGCTAGCCAAGCAGCGCGGCACCGTGCCTCCACCATCCACCCTACCACCACGCCGCGCCGGTACGGTATACACATGCCCGCCGCGTCGGCCGCGTCCCGGCGGCAGCCATGCGGCAGCCAGGCCACGACGCCGGTCCGACCAGGTAACCGCCGCCTACCCCCTCCCCCGGCCCCCACCTTCCCAGCCAGCCACTCCAGGCGGCTCCAGCGGACTCCAGGGTCCAGCGGCCTGGAGAACTGGAATCGAGGCGCAGCCTGGCGCAGCAGCGTCTCCACGACCGGGTTCGATTTTCTGCGGGAAGCGTCGCCCTGTCGCATCGTGACATCCGGCGCGGTGGACTTGTTGGTTTGTCTTGCGAAGGCAACATGCAGGACTGGGCTGCCAAACGCCCCTCGGGCCTGACCGAATCATTTGGCCCGTCTTGGAAGGTCAGATGTTTCCGACGGCAAAAGGATGAATCAAGCTGCCTCCTCCACACCGTGGCGCCAAACAGTACACTGTGGTCCTGAATGTCACCAGACGGAGTGCGAGTGGGACAACGGACATCCCGTGCGCTCTGTCAGAGGTCCGAACTTTGTGCCAGACTTGGCATGTCCTCGATCCTGAAGCACTACGAACTTAGAAACGCTTAGCTGTACGGCAATGGAATTTCAGACAAGTGGTATGCCGCATGGGGGCATCGTGTTAGGGAAAAGGTCGTTGGCCAAGCCGCTTTCTGCTGGCGTTTTGCTGTTCAGCCAGCCCCGCCTCTGGACCACACTTCGTGGCCCTGCCCGCCCCGGCCTGTCCCTCGGCTGGCCCGGACGGACGCAGCTCCAGACAGGCTGCCTCTGGCCGACGGATCCCGCTCGCCCGATACCGCTATCCGTTCGATTCGGGTTATTTCCCCGACAAGCATCTTCTAGACTGCTCTGTAAAAGGAGACATGTGGAGTTGCACGCGCGCGCGCGCGCACGCGCGTGTGTGTATCTGTTTGCGGTGCAAAGCTGGACCATCATTGTGTCTGCAGGACCAATGAATCACTCCGTCAATGAGTGCCCGTTTCACAACACGCTAATCAGCTTCAATAGATGCAGCTGTTCGAAAAAAGGTCTGTTCTCCCCACCCCTCCAAGAAAGCAGGTATTGTCTCTTTTAATTCAGGTGATTTTCCTTCAGTTGGTAAAAGCCAAAATGTTTCGTTTAGAGTCAGGACCAGACTAAACTGTTCAAAGCGAATGCTTCTTTTTTTGCCTTCCTTTGTAGTAGGCGCTCTGCAGGCAAGGAACCCAAGTTCAAGCTCAAGTTCAGGTCCCCTGGCTATAAATTACCGTGGCCAGTCCTGTCCTGTTGGGGACTCCGTCACTACCCCGTGCTCGCGAGGCCTGCGCCGGCCCGGCCCGCCCGGCCCACGCGCGCCGATACTCCGCGCCAAGAGAAAGGGGTATCGCGGCGCGCGGCAGCGGCACCCACTGGCACACTGTCTTCCGCTCCTTAGGTACCATCCAACATTTTCGATGATGAGATTTTGACAAAATGGGGCATGAAAACTGCAACAGCGTTCCCCCCATAAACCCAATAAAAATTGGAATGACGAATAATCATTTTTATTCAGATCTCGGTTTGTACGTGGCTTGCGTTCGTGCTGGCTGTTTCTGTGCTAGTACTGGCTGAGAACCGTGAGGGGATTTTCCAGCATCTTCCGTCTTAAATTTCCAGCGTGGGCGCAGTAGTTCCAGGCGGGCCCGGGAGAGGGCGCTGGCTGCGTCGCTGGCGCGCGGCGTGAAGGGGGCGTTGGAGGGGGCGCAGTGCCGCGTGGTGCCTCGCTGCCGCCAGTACCGACTCCGACTCGAACGAGGGAAGGCCTCGCGCGCCGAACCGCCCAGGACGCCGCGGACCACGCGAGCCACGTGCTTGGCGCCGGCAGTGTCAACAGAAGGCCGTGCCACTGGATACCGACGACACCGGCCATGTGTAGTGCAGTGAAGTGACGAATCGACGAAATCGTGCGCGCGTGTCAGTGTATTTGTGCGTTTGTGTGTTTGTGTGCGTGTGTGTGTGTGTGCGAGGCTTCTGGATGACCAGAGGCACGCCGAGAAGCCCGCCCACCTATGTTGCAGCAGCAGCCTGCTGCAGCGGCTTGGACTGCTGCTGAGGGCCTGCCTGTCGACGACCAGGTACCGTGTCCCCAGGGCACTCAGTGCTCAGCCGCCAGCTTCTTTGAAAGCCTTCCTAATTGCTAGTAGCCACGCTGCCGAGCAGCGGACGTGGCTGGCGGGAGGTTCGAGCACACGGACCTCCCGCCTCCAAATTCAAAATTACGTCCCAACTGTACCTAGGATCACAAATTTAATGAGGCCAACTCAATCTCAAGTCATTTTTTTTTCTGAAGCTGCAAAATACTGTTCGAAAATTAAAGTTAGTTTTAATTCACTTTGAAATTGTCTTTGAAAACGTGAGCTGTCAAATGGAAGAAAACAGTTAGCGGGACTTGAAAGCTGAAATTTCAGAATTTGATCTGTAAATTTGATCTGGCTGAGCTTCTGACACTGCACTGTGGCACACAGCTGCTCCCGGAGCCACCGCTCGACCTGACTGCGGGGCGAGCCGAGCGCCCCGAGGACGCCGACAAGCAAGATGCAGATGGCGAGGCTGCCGCACCTGGCTGGACCGTCCACCTGACGCCTTGCGGACGCCTCTTCTATTGCAAGTGAGTAGTACAGCTCAACAGCGCCGCGCCTGGTTACGCTGCAAAAGCTGCCCACGACAGCGACAAAAGAATATCGCAATAATATTTTGTGATGAGCACCAACACCCTATTCTTAGATGGACTTATCCACTGGGAAAATTTGTTGTCACTTTATGACCTAAAGGGTGGCTTGCAAAAAACCTTGATGACATTTTAACCTCTTCCCAAAGATGCAATTTATCGCCATTATAATCACAAACTGTTGAGATTTTCTTCACATCTCCTATGCTTACTGCTTGTCATCAACGAGTTTGATGACTCTATTAACGAAAATGAGCCTTCAGATCGTCGTCCAGTGACAACCAAAGTTTTCAAAGTGTGGGGCGATGGGATGGAGCCTGTTCTCAGGTATCCCTACCCCTGGTGCATCGCATCACCCGAAGCACTCGTTGCGTTCTTCTGGCTCCATCACTTCCCCGTCCGTTCGTTGGCTTTCGCGGCATTCTAACGCCTCGGTGAATCGGGCTTTCGCTCGCACCTTGGGCTGCGTGCCTTGGGCGTTAGATTGTCATCGCCGTTTCCGGTGGTGTGTGTGTGTGTGTGTGTGTGTGTGTGTGTGTGTGTGTGTGTGGTGTGTGTTTATACTTTGAGATCGGCTTTGCCAATTACTGAAGTGCGCAACCACGCGGGTCTTCTGCCAGGCTGTTTCTGCGAGCTAGAGAGGAAGTCCGCGGAAGTCTTGGTCATTAGTTTTTAAAATCTGTTTAAATCTGTTATTCGGCTGCCTGCTGACTTTGCGGGCACCGCCGGTTCCCTACATTGCTGGATAGTTTTCCCCCCTTTTTTTGCCAGTCTTCCATGGGAGCTCGATTGGACAATACTGGAACTGAAGGAACGCGGCTGCTGGCTAGCTGCCGCGCGGCACGGCTGGCTATGCCGCGGCTGGAACGCCACTGGAGAGAGGGGAGGGGGGAGGCAGTCGAGCTAGACCAGGTCTAGGACGGCGTAGCTGGCGTGGAGCGGTGGAGCCGGCCAGCCACGGCAAAGCTATAGGGGCACAAGAGTTCCACTCGGTCAGACGGGACTACTGACCTCACCGGCCAGTACACCGCAAAAAAATGAAAGCAACTTTTTGAAAATATGATGAAGTTTGCGCGTGATTGCCTCCTCCTGCCGTCTGCCATCTGTCAGTCGTTTTATGGCGGACAGTTTTCTCGGCAGTTCATTTTGGAGTCTGTCTATTCGACCAGTCTTTTGGTCGCCGTTTAGCGGTTAGCCTACTAGTTTGGTTTATGTCGTCGTTGGATCGGTGTAACTGACCATAGCCAGCTTGCTTCGCGCCAAAAGTCATATCCCATAACACGTGTTGCCATCGCTGTTGCACAACACAACAAACGAAACAGGTTCCAGTATTCCAGCGTCTTACACTGCCCCTATTGTGCGCGCGTGTGTGAGTGCGCGCGCCCGCGCACGAGTGTGTGTGAGAAAGCCTCGTCACGTGAAAAGCTGCAAATCACTCTGTCACCCTGCCGGCACGCACTGATGGTGACAAATTATTTGGGAGCCCCGTTTTTTTTGGATGAGAACTTCGTCCGTAATTGGCGGTCTAAACTGACGAGGCTGCGTTGGCCTTCCCGTGCCAGAAATAAGTTCCCAGGACCTTCATTTTTGGAATCACCCGCAACCGAGCGCACGGCCTGGACCTGCAGTTGCAAGAGTATGAAGTTACGCTTTTTGGGGAGCTCGTTTTCACAGGTCTCAAAAGCGAGACCGCCCTTTGGTCCGAGGGCAAGACCCTCGCTTTGCCTGGTACCCCTTTTTTCGTCAAGCAAAATAATCAATTTCTAAAAGGTCCTTATACACACCGAAAAGCCGGAGTCCACTATTCGCGCTCCGTATTACGTGGCCCCAACGCGAGGCCCCCTCGGGCCCCTCCGGGGGCGCCGTCACGGAAAAACCCAGGGGCGTGGAAATCCACCTTTGGCTGCGGGAAGCGAGGCCGTTTTGCCTCCTGGGGGCAAGGGGTGGGCCCCAAAACCCGGGGGGCCCCACGCCGCTTGGGTGGGGCCCGGCCCGGCCCGGCCGGTGGGGTCTTGGGGTCCTTGGTTGGCGGCTGGGCGGAGCAGAGGTCACAGAGTCCGAGGCAGTCCGAGGCCGGGGAGGCGGCGATGTGTGAAGCGATTGGGACACGACCTTTCAATTTGACCAAAGGCGTCCATCTAATCCAGCGGTGCAGCCTGGCTGGACAAAAAGACTGTCTGTTTAATAGTGCGGAAGCTGAGATGGTGTTGCTCCAGGAACTGACGTGGCGAGCATGTGATAGCAGGGCGAAAAGTTTGTGGCCAATAAAACCCTTTTGCTGACAATGCCTTTCAATGCAGCTCAGTTTTGAAAACCTTGTTGGCCAATTCACTTGTCCCACAGTGCACGCCACTCGCGTTTACCTCACTCCTCCTTTCCGCCTTTGCCTTTATCGCGCCTCGTGCACCTCACTGGACTCTGGACTTGGCACACAAGCAGGCGAAGCGGGCGGAGCGGGCAGGAGGCGGGGCATCCTTTCACACTCCTATCCTTGACTCGGCCGGCCGGTGCGAGGACTGCGTGGGCGGCGACCACACCTCGTGGGCGCCGCAGCACCGCGCAGCACCGCGCAGCACCGCGCAGCACCCAGTGGCGCCTGCCTCTAAAGCCAGCCGTGTAGGTAGGACGCCCCATGAGTGCGGGAGAGACAGAGCGACGAAAAACAGTGTCCAGGCAGGAGCTTGGGCTCCTCTAGGAATTCAAAGCGCGGCGCTTTCCTCGCGGTTCGCGTGGCGCCGCGCCGCCTGGACGCGGCTGGGCGCGGCACGGCACGCCACGGCGCGGTGACTGACTGAGGCGTAACGTCGGCAACGCCGCCTCGGCGTCGCGACGCCGCGCGCCGGCAACGCAGCGTCAGGCACACTGATCGGCCTGGAATGGCACTCCGTCTCGGAATTATGCCAGATTTCAAGGGCTTCCCGCTGGACGACGACGCGCTCGGACTTCAAATCCGTTGGAGTTTTGTCTGCGACGGCGAGTTTGAGATGTGCGTGCGTAGTTTTCGGCCCCCACCCAAGCTCGGCGTGTGCCAGGCTCGGGCTCGAGGTGTAGTGTGGGGGGCCTGCGGACGTCAGCGGGTTAGTCACGTGGTTTCACCGCGGACCAGTCACTGAAGAAGCACTTCAATGGGCTCTAGAGCTCAAATCGACTCAGTAAAATTAAAACGATCGAAGCACAGTGAACTTGAGGTTGATTGCAATGGGCCAATCACCTTCCACCGCACTCAACTGCCAAGTGCAGCCACCTCACAGCCCGACACAGGTGATGGTCGATCGCCTAGTCGGCGCACTCCAGAAGACAGTCACCGAAACTCCAGACGCGTTTTGAGCTCCAGAGTCGCTAAACAGGACTCCGAAACAAACGTGTGACCCCACCAATGGATTCATCTTTCGGAGAGTAATCCATTGGTGGGGTCACTCCTCGTCCGATTCGAGTCCCATTTAGCGACTCTGCACCTTAAAACGCGTCCGGGATTTTGGCCGCCTCCTTCGGTCTTCTGGCCCACTGTGCGGCGCGACCCTGTGCCCTGTGGGCGCGTCGAACGCTCCTGGCGTGCATGTCGTCGCCGGAAGTGGGCGAGATGCCAGGCCGGCTTCTTTGCGGTGTGCAACCACTTCCGTTTCCGAATCGGATCGTCGGCCGCGATGACACTGGCGGGGCGCGGCGCGGCGGCGCTGGCAAAACTGTGGCGCGGCACAGTTAGCTGCTATAACTTCCGCCTCGTCACCGCCATCGCCGCCCTGCTCTAGTGACCGCCACGGCGCCGTCGTTTCCGGTAGGCTAGTTAGCGGGCTATTTAAACGCCGTTTCGGCTTCCTTCCCCGCTTTCTTTGTTTTCTATCTTTACTTTCCCCCACGCCCACTTCCTCCTACCTATCTGTGTGTTGCGGTGCTACACTGTGTCACGGTTTACGAGTTTTCCGGGAACCCGTTTAGTGTAGTCGTTGTACTAGCCGCTCGATGAGAGCAACTGCCGCAAAATTGGTCCGAGTTTTGGACCGACTTTCGGCGGCCGCTGCGTCCAAACGCGTTTTGGCAGTGGTGCTCGTGGGAAGGGTGGTCTCAAGACCGTCCTCTTTCATTCCTCGCGGTACGCAACGCTCATTTGAGCAGCGGTGCCTCAAAGTTGGCCAAAGGGTGGACGGATTTCTGAAAGACGTGCGCAGCCCGGCCGGTGCGGCCGACGGCTTGTCGACCGAAAGTGGCTTGTGAACCACCAACGGGTTGCTCTCCGAACGACGAATCCATCGGTGGGGTCACACGTTCGGTTCGAGTCCTGATTAGCGACTCTGGAGCTCAAAACGCGTCTAGAGTTTTGGCCGCCCCCACCGGTCTCCTGGCCGCGGCGGTTCGAATCTCGCTGTTGCTGCCTGTGACTGCGGGCTGAACCAAAGGTCGCGCGAATTTGACCGACGTCGCCGTCTCTAAGTCGTCTCCGTCTTCCCGTGGGTGCATTAATATCCCCTGGGAACCCGGCGGCGCTGCCGCAGGAAACGCCGGGGCGGCGGCGCGGCGGGGCGCGCGGCTGACTGAGGTCGCGCTCTGCTGTGGCTGGCTGCGGTTCCCCCGGCATTTGTCGGCCGAGATGATCTGCTTTAGATTATATTCGTAACGACGTCGTTCAGCGCGGCAGCAGCACGACGCGACGCGGGGTCGGCCGACCGTCGGCCCCGCGCGCGCGTGACCTGGCCACCACAACAACGTCAAGGATGAGCTGCAGTAACTCAGCAAAATTGCCATTTCGGTGTCTGGGAACCTGCGAGACTTTAGCCTTGCGCGCGAAATAAAGTGGTTTCGGTAAGTTTTCTGTGAGGTTTCACCCGTTGTTCGCAGTGTAGCGGCCGGTTTTTGCCCGATCGACGTGGACTGTTTTGGAGCACCTCGCTCGCCCGCGGCGCGCGCGGAGGTCTAACGGGAACGCATGTCCTGGTTCGAGCAGC